CATAGTGCATGTGAGGAATCTTTCTGTTCACAAGGCTGTTCAGGGTACATACAGCAAGGGCATGAGAAAATTGGGGCTGTGCTGTTTGGGAGGGATGGCATGCTCCTGTCCTTTTTGCCTGGACTCTGGGAACAGGAAATGGGGCAAGGGATTACAGCCTCAGCTAGGATTATCATCCATTACCAGCTCGAATGATTATGAAACACAGTCATGCATCCCTTCTCCTCCACTATTTGGAGAAGATAGCCAGCCCTGAGCTTCTTCACAGCAGTGCTTAGGCCTCATGGCTGCCTCTGCTACCATCAAGCCATGGTTTAGTGAGAGATGCATGGGTTTAATGAAAAGATGGCACTACAAGGTGAGATTGAAGTCCTCCAACTGGAGCCTGTACAGGAACTGGGTCAGGCTGTACACCTTGGTCCTGTTTCCGTTCTGAACCTCTCTCCATGGAGGGGAACAATGCTGGCTAACTCTAAAACAAGTCCTGGCCATCCTTCCCCAGCAAGAAGGGCAATTCCCACAATGCAGGGCCTTTTTGTTTTACTATAAGCCCTTTGGAAGGGAGTCTGGGTTTTTTTCAGTGTCTGTGGAGCATTAATACAGTGGATCCCTAATCTATGAGGGTTTCTGCTTGCACTACCCCAGTATGATAATATCCCCCCCCCCTTTGCAGTGAGATTCAAAGCTGCTAGTGTTAAGAAAAAATCCTGAAGAAAAGCAGCAGGTGGGCTGATTAAGCCACATCCCAGCTCCGTTGCACCCCTTTCTAAGGTTCCCTTGTTTGATTATCATCTGTATGCTAGATCCTTTCTATCCAGGCACTTTGGCATCCCCTGATCACAGAAGTATCTGAGCCACTCACAAGCACCTCATGGCTTTCCGGTGCAGCAGAGCAGTGTTATTATCCCCCTGTTTACAGAGGGGAACTAAGACTCAGAGACAGCAACCCAAAGCGACTCAGAGAGAGCGAACAGCTAGCCCAGATCCCATAGGAATTGAGTTTGTGACTCCTTTGTACCAAGCAGTACATAAAACACAAGAGCTTCCACCTTTCTTGGTACAGGTGGGCATCTGATGTGTTTTGCATTGTTTTTCATGACTCCCCTGAATTTGACCACATGCTTTACAGCCCTGTTTCCTTGCTGGGTAGGGCGGGGCAGAGAGGTTGAACAACCTGGATCCCTTCTCTCCCAGCAGTGGTCATTCTGTTTCCTTAGAAGTTCTCTTGGCTGGAAGCTGTGCCTCTCTGCTCCCCTCTGTTGCCACATAGAGCAAAACTGAGACATGACCAATCTGGCATTTCAGTTAAATTCAGTGGATGCCTGTGCCAATGTTTCCATCAGGGGAGGTTTATCACTACTCCAGTATCATAAGCATTTTGAAGTACTCCCAGACTCTAAGAGCTTCTAGTGACACGTGCAGCCACTTGACCCTCATTTCTGTGGCTTGCTCGACTGCCAGATACTTTTCATATAAACACATGCTGCTATGGCCCTGTGGTCTTTTCTGCAATCGTGTTCTCCGCCCCCCCACCCCCCACCCCAGCGTCAGTAGTTAGTAAAAGTGAGTGTCTCCGTGTCCACAGGGACAGTAGTGGTAAATCTGGCCGATAACCTCCAGGATTTTTCATGCCATTTGCTGGTGGACGTAAAAAGCCTCCATGGTTATGTCTATGCTATGTCTCCACCTTACACTGGCCCCATTGTACAAGATACTATCTAAACAGGTAGTAAAAGGTGGGGAAGGGGAGTTTAGTGGGCAGAGCACTGGACTAGCACTGGGGAAATCAGGTTCTTTTCCAAGTTCAACTCCAGACACATCTTGGTACCTGGGGTTAAGCCACATAGCTTTTCTTGTGCTTTCCTATCTGTAGACTGGACTAGTCCTGCCCTATCTCACAGGGTGTAATGAGAATAAGAGTCATTGATTGTGAGGAGCTCAGATACTATAGGCCTCATAAGTACCTTTGCAATCAAAATGGAGAAAGGAAATATCATCCCTGTTGTATGGCCAGGCAGTCAGGATGAGAGAAGTTGAGTGTACATCCATTCTGATACAGAGGTCTGACTGCAGCCAAGTGTTTGTCTGCACTGTGATCCAGAGATGCAGTAGGAACTCCTGTAAACATACCTGAGCATTTTCAAACTGGCTAGCTCAGGTACTGGGAGCAACACTAACTAACCAAGGATTCTGGATGAATTGTCTGTAGCTGGAGTCCAAGCTGCTGATGCTATGCTGCTCTTGGTGCTTGAGGTAGCTAGTGTACAGGTAGCTTAGATATATCTACTTGAGCTGTAGTCACACCTCTAGCAGTATACATACCTTCTAAGGGACTCACCTAGAAGACATCTATACTGGAGTCAGTGGCTCTAGAGGCACAAGGTTCTTGGGTCTCAAGCTGCTGCTTGTTCATTTCCCACAGGAAGAAGGAAGGATTAGCCGATAGGAAGGACAAGCCCCAAGAGAACACAGTTGGCTTATTGTCTCTGAAACACCAGCTCGGGCAGACTGGCGATTCATTGGAAAAAGTTTTTGTGAGAGAAAGGAGACCTAACTGAACCACCCCAAGAATTTGGATCTCCTGAGTCTGAGTCCCTGCTTTCCCAGGGCCTTGCTGTGTGTTAAATCACTCTGTTTTTTCTACATTTGTAGGCAGAGATAATACTAACCATACCTCCAGGGTTATTTGGCCATACTGCTGTCACCTGGCACTGCCAGAAGCCCTGGCTGGTAGTGCTTCATCTGAGAAGCACCATAGTTTCATCTAAACCAGAAACGCAGCTCCCCACCCACTCTGGCTCCCCACCCATGCCCTCAGGAGGGCATCCTGAGTTGCCTCTGCAAGCCAGACCATTTGTTAAGGGGTCTTGTTATGAACATAGCTATGGCTGTGAGTTCAGCTGTGGGAGGCCTGCCTGTGCCAATGGCAGTTATTAGTGAAATCCCTTTCATCTCTGTTGAGACTCAAGCTGACTCGTGTGCTCCACTGAGATCACTTACATACCAGGCCTGGCTGACTCTGTACAGGCCTCTGCTGTTCAGACCTGAACTCTCAGGTGAAGCACCACAGGCCAGGGCATCTGGCAGTGCCAAGTGACAGTCAGACCAGCCCCCAGGATCCCAGAATCTGTGTCCCCACCTTGGTGCAGTCCACTCCCATTGGTTAGTTTCCTCTTCCACTGACATCCTTTTCTTTTAAAAGGGCTTTAGTTAATTCAACCTTTCCTGCACACACGTGCCTGCTGCTGTCTGATACCCTTCAACACAGCCCCTGGCAGGCAGGGGGTGGCTGGCGAGCACTCTTTGATCACTTGGCTCCGCTCATTCTTTGCCAGCTCACCCTCTCAGCTGGAACGTTTCATGCTCCTTGTTTCCCAGGGTCAGCCTGACTCAGCAGAACTTCTTGCAGCCTCTGCAGTACCATTCTTCATGCCTAATGGGGCATTTGGAGGCAGCTTATCCCCAGGCTCCTCTAACCTCAATCATTAGTGGGGGAGATAGGAGGGGTGAGTGAAAAATCATGGTCCAGCTACAGCCTGACCCCAGGGTACCAGGCAGTGCATTAGCTCTGTAAGGCATAAGGCTCTCTTGGGGGGTGCCCCACTCCTCCCTTTTCCTTTCATTTTGAATCCTCTGGCAGTGCCCTCAGGAACTTGGGGTCTCTTGGCATTCCCAGCAGAAGTAAAAGGCTAATGTCATTGGCCTTGACTGGGTTAGCACAGTGGCAGGCTTTCCCACCCAGGGCCTGAGTGGGAGCCACCGTAATCTGGTGCACTGGGTGAGAAGAAGAATCTGTAGAGAGAGGATGATACTTCTGCCTTCGTAGCCTGTCAGTCTTTGTCTTCACTGCTATCCAGAGGGGCAGTTTGGCTGGCGTGCTCCTATCTCCTTTTGAAACAAAGCTAGCAGAGCCGGGTCAAACAGCCAAGAGCTTCTGTGCATGCAGAGCCTTGGAATATCTGTCCTCTCACTGTCCAGCTGGTTGGTAAGTCTGTAACCATCAGTACTGAATTGGAGAAACGGTTTCTCCAGTTTAGCAGTCACTGGCCATTCTGTGTGACCAGCTTTCACAGGGCAGAGCAGAGCAGGCAGTCAGTTATCTGTGGAATGGTGGCTTGTGTATGTCATGGACTCCCAATGCTGAGTATAATGACCTTGTGATGACAGTTGAATGTTTTCCACGGTGGAACAAAGGAAAAATGAGTGTGATGATTCAATTACAGCTCCACTTTGAATTGCAATGTCACTCCCTCTGTAGGTTAATTAGTAGCACAGTCCCCAGGCTATCTGTGGTACGGTTTGCGGCAAAGAACATTAAAATGCAGCTGCAGCTCATTAACTAATGACAAGGTGCTTTTCACATGGACTTTGTCCCTTGCAGTATTTTAGACACTTCTCTGAGAGATCAGGGGAAATAAATATTCAGGAGAAGGCTTTCCCACTGATTAGAGCACTAAAGGAGGAGGACACAGGAGATGCAGGTACACTTCTCAGTTCTGCCCCAGACTTCCTATGTGACCTTGGATCATCCCCTTGGTCTCTCTGTGCCCCAGTTCACCCCCGCTACCCATAGAGAATTGTTTGGATAAATGCACTAAAGAATATGATATACTGAAATAACATAGGTTCATGAATGGGAGTCAGGGAAGAATAATGTATGGTAAGTATAGCAGCAGAGATGTTTTCTTGCAGACAAGTCTCCAGACCTCTGTTTTGAGTCCATTAATGGTGATTTTAGGGGGTAAATTCCAATGGATTTTGTTGTTGTCCCCAAGGGCAGCTGTTCCATCCTCAACATGGAACAATCCTCAACATGGTTCTGAGATGAGCTGGGAGTCACTGACTCCCCCTTGCTACTCACCCCATGAGTGAGCACATGTATGATTTGCTTTGAGAAGCTCTCAGGAACCTTCCCTCAAAGCAATGTCCCATGCTGCAGGCCCTGGGCATGGTGTCTGTGCTGACCCTGCCACTACTCTTTGACTCTTTCTCCCCTGCAGGTACATTGAGAGGAAGGCATTTCTGGATCGGGTGGACCACAGGCAGTTTGAAATCGAGCGCGACATAAGACTGAGCAGGATGAAGCCGTGATGTGGATGTGGAAGTCCACTCCCCTGTGGACATGCTGGAGGGTCTGCAGGTGGCTGGCAGCCATCTACTGAGAACAAAATGCAAGAACAGTTTTTCTACCCAAGGCTTGACCCCTCTGTCCAAGCAGGTTTTTCTTTTTCCTGTCATAGTTAGGAGATGTTTGTCAATGGGTGGGGGCACTTCAGGGGTTAAATTGCTCAGCAGATGACAGTAGCATATAGTTCTCTCTGCAGGAGTGACTGGTATGATTCTGGTGGGCAGTATCCAAAAGCTGAAAGCCCTTGGCAGGGATCCTGTGCCATCTCTGTACACTTCTGGCAGTGAGATGGGTCAGGCAGACTTCACACTGCAGCACTGGCACAGACTGCAGGAGTTGGCACATTTCTGCTTAAACAGGCAAGGTCTAGCACAGCACACAAGGGAGGAGGGATGTCTCTACAGTACAGCAGTGCCCAAGAGCCTACAGAAGGGAGGATGAATTGAGACTTGCAACATGCTTGAATACAAAATAGCCTCCTGGGGTCACCACAGAAAGGTTTCCTGTTCCAGTCTTCTTTTTTTTTTTCAAGACTGCTTGGTAATTGTGTGTCATTCAGGCCTGTGGAATTCCAGGTTTCATCCTTTCCTCCTCCACTTCTCCAGCAGAGCCAGCTGGGTTTGATTCTCAGACCTCCCAGCACTCAACTTTCCTCCCGAAGAGTCTGAACTGTGTCTGTTTGTGTGTCTATTTTTAAGCAAGAAAATTAATAAACCCTTCCTCTGTTTTGTTCCCATTCAATTTCCCATGAAGAGGAGAGCAGCAGCAGGCAGGTATGGGGGGCTGAGTCCAACCATTCAGACTAATAAAGTATTATATATGGATGCTTTTGTGTTTGGGGGAGGTTTATTATTCATTATGCAATAGCACCCATCATACTGGGCACTGGATTTCCACGCAGTAATAGACGGCTCCTACCCAAAACTGTTTACAACCTATCCAGGCAAGGCAAGACAGGCACCATTTTACAGATGGGGAGGACAAATTAAGCGGCAGACCCTATGAAGGACGTAGGTGCCTGCAGTGGGACTAAGATAGCAGTTCCCAAACTGTGGTTTGCAACCCCAAATGGGGTTGCAGAAACAGCAGATGGGGTCACGAGAAATAAAATCACTTTAATTCAGGGATGGGCAAAATACAGCCTGTGGGCTAGATCTAGCCCACCAGGCAACTTCATTTGGCCCGCAGGCACCCACCAACTAATAGTACCCTGCCCAGCCCATGTGCCTCACTCCCACCCTCGTGCATAGATGGGCCTAGCCCAGCCAGTGCGCAGCTTACAGGCAAGGAGGCTGCTGCTACTGGTACAGCTGCGGGGGGGCCTGCTCGGCTTCCCCCACCCAAGCCCTAAGCCTTGTGTGCACTAAAGAAGATTGTCCCTGCCCTGCTCCATGGCTGAGCCTAAGAATCTGTGACACTGGAAGCAGCAAGGAAGATACCATCCCTGAATGGTCAGCATTGGACAGGACCCCTGCAGTTCACACATGCTCAGGTCAGTTATATGCTAAGTCATGCCTTTGGCAGGCTGATCTCCCCACATCACCCTGCCTGGTACATGGTTAAAGCCATAAATAAGACTCACAAACATCTCCTGTCCCATGAGACAGAGCAGTAAGCAATATTAGCCCAAAGTGCAACAGGAAAGCTGAACGCAATGTACTTGAGCAAATCATCCAAAGCAGCCCCATGTCAGTGCCAGCTCCTTCCAGCCTGTGCTTGCTATCCCAGTCCCTTCTCCCTGCACTGTCCCTAGAATTGTTTCTAAAGGGTAAAGTTTTATACTGGTCTAAGCCCCTCTGAGTGGCCAAGCCCAGAGCTGTGTGTTACACTGGTCACAAGTTGACAGAGAAGCCCCATCCTTTAACTGTTACTCATCTTGCAGGGTCTCATTCCCAACAGACTTAGCAAACTTGTGACTTGCTACTGTTGGATCCTAACATGGACGCTGTGTGTCCTGTGTCTGTCCACATAGCTGGTCTCAGGAAGGCTGCTGTCAAAATTGGCATCTTCACTGTCACTTTTGCTCTGGACGCTGATCCTCACTTGCAGCTCTTCCAGAGCTTTGATCCTGGTGAGATTTGTCACTCGTGACTTCTGCACCTGTTGATCAAGGCAGGTAGGGCTGCACAGGGTGCAACATGTGCAGGGTCTTGTGAACATGTCACTTCATGCCGGCAGCTGAACATTTCAGACTTTGGGGGCACTACCTTGTGGAGCGTGTTGAGGCTAAGGCCAAGTATTGCTTGTCAATACATGTCAGCAGAGGGGTCTGGTGAGTGCAGGGCCCCACTCTCCACACCCACCAACACCCAGATATACTCCAAACCAAGAATTTTGCCAGTAAACCTGCTTGAGCGTCATCCTCACTGGCTGCTTTGCAGGCTAGCTGACACTGAGGGCTCAAGGGTGGGTTTTGGGGACAAGCCCAGGGCTGGTTCACAAGTGAACTTCCAGGTTTGGAGCCAGTACCTGAGGTAGGCTTGGCTTCTGCAGGGCATGTCTAGTCCCAGTCTCACTGGAACCTGCTGCTCCTGCAGCATTGTAGACAGGCCCATGGCTGCTCAGGGGTGCTGGGTTATCCTGAGCTCCTTTGCTCTACCCTGGTTTTTTATGCAGCTGCCTGGGGGTTAGAACTGCAGAGGTAATGGAAGGCACCTACTTGTTGCTGAAGGGCATGCAGCCTCAGAAGGGTCACTGCCCTGCTCCTCTTCTAGGCCAGTACTGTCCTATTCAAGCCACCTGCCGTGTTTCATAGTTTGTAGGGTCGGAAGGGACCTTGACAGATCATCAAGTCCGACCCCCGGCCATGGCAGGAAAGAGCACTGGGGTCAAACGACCCCAGCAAGGTGTTCATCTAGCCTCCTCCAAGGTAGGAGCCAGCACCACTGCTCTTGGAAGTTGGTTCCAGATCCTAGCCGCCCTGACAGTGAAGTAGCGCCTCCTGATGTCTAGTTTAAAATCTACCCTCTGCCAGCTTGTGACCATTATTTCTAGTCACTCCCGGTAGTGCTCGGGGGAACAGGGACTCTCCCAATGCCTGATGGTCCCCCCCTAACTAGTATGTAACAGGCCACTAGATCCCCCCTCAGCCTTCTCTTGTGAAGGCTGAACAGGTTCAGGTCCCGTAGCCTCTCCTCACAGGGCCTGCCCTGCTGCCCCCTGATCATGCGAGTGGCCCTCCTCCAGACCCTCTCAATGCTGTCCACATCCCTCCTGAAGTGCAGCGCCCAGAACTGGACGCAGTACTCCAACTGCGGCCTGACCAGTGCTGCGTAGAGGGGAAGGATCACCTCCTTGGACCTGCTCGAGATGCATCTATGGATGCATGACAAGGTGCAGTTGGCCTTCCTGACTGCGTCCCCACACTGTCGGCCCATGTTCATTTTGGCGTCAATGATGATTCCAAGATCCTTTTCTGCCTCTGCACTGATGAGAAGGGAGTTCCCCAGCCTGTAGGTATGCTGCTGGTTCTTCCTCCCCAGGTGCAGCACCTAGGACTTGTCAGTGTTGAAACCCATCCTGTTCTCATCTGCCCACCCCTGTAACCTGTCTAGGTCCAGTTGCAGCCTATTCCTCCCTTCTAGCGTGCCCTTCTAGCGTGTTGTGCAGCGTCCAGCCCCTACCCAGGGACAAGCCTGCATCCTGCCTTGGTGGGCTTCTGTTTTGGGAACAGCAAAGAAAGTTGCTCCTGAGAACTTCTGTGGGAGAGCAAATTGTGCTGTTTGCATAGCCTTATCGGTCTGATCAGTGGATAATAGGGGGCCCGAGCTGGCTCTCACAGCTGTCTTTGGAAGTCTGGTCTTGTCCTAGTCATTAGGACCCCTGTTTGCCTGTAGTGCTCTAGAACTGCAAAAGAACTGCTCATAGAGGGTTTGCAGATACTAGAGGGATATTAACTGCAGTTCTGAGTACCCATCCTTTAACTGTCCCTCATCTTACAGACCAGATATTTCACTCTGACCAGAATGATCTTCTTCCAGAGAAACCTGTCCCTCTCTCTCTCTTGCTTTCTGAAGAGGTCTTAGGAAATACCAACCTCTCTGCAAACACAAATGTGTGGGAGAGTTCACAACCCTTCTAACTGACACATTGAACAGCTTATACCTATCATCCCTACTGTAATGGCAGGATAGGTTAGGGATAACTTACAGCAGCTAAATTCTTTCAAGTCAGCAGGTCCAGATGGGATGCACCCAAAGGTACTGAAGGAATTGGCTGAGGTAATTTCAGAGCCATTGCCTATCCTCTTTAAGAACTGATGGAGGTCAGATGAGGTCCTGGATGACTGGAAAAGGGCAAATATAGTGGCCATCTTTAGGAAAGGAAAGAAGGAGGATTTGTAGAACTACAGACCAGTCAGCCTGACCTAGATACCTGGAAGGACCATAGAGCAGGTCCTCAAGGACTCTCGTGTGAAGCACCTAGAGGAGAACAGGAACAGCTAGCATGGATTGACCAAGAGAAAGTCATGCCTATTCAAACCGATTCCTTCTATGATAAGCTGACAGGCTCTGTGGATGTGGGGAGAGCAATGGATGTGATATACCTTGACTTAGTGTCAAAAGCTTTGCTAATCTCCCTCAACATTCCCATTAACAAGCTAAGGAAATACAGACTAGACAAAAAGTCATGTAAGATGGATACATAACTGGTTGGAATGTTGTACTGAAAGAATAGTCATCAATGGCTCAATGTCTAGCTAAGAGGAGGTATCAAGTAGGGTTCCCCTGGGATCTCTCTTGAGTCCAATATTGTTCAATATCTTCATTAATGATTTAGATGCTGGGATTGAGTGCATGCTTAGCAAATTTGTGGATGTCACCAAGTTGGGTTGAGTTGCAGATAGGTCAGAAGGAAGAGGTAGGGCTAGGATCTGGAATGACTTGGGTAGACTGGAGAAGTGGGCCACAATTAACCAGATGAGATTCAGCAAGAACAAGTGCAGAGTCCTACACTTGGGATGTAATAACAACATGTACAATGGAATTGACTTTGTTCAGTCTGGGCCTTGTTATAATCTGGCCCCCTCTTTTTATCTCTGGGCCGCGTGGGGCCCTGTCTTGCTCTGTCCCCTCTCCTGGGGCCTCTCAATAGTGCTGCCCCCTCTCTGGCGCTGGGGTCTCCACACTGCTGTGGGTCCCCTATGAGGCATCCTCCAACCCCTAATAGCCTCACCCAAGCCACCAGTATATAAACAGCAACAAAACACCAGCCCCTGGGCTGTAACAGAAAGTAAAGCTGCCTGGCTAAAACATCATTCACGCCTACCAGGGAATACTCCATCCCTCTGCAGTGTCAAACGTTGCTCCTGCAGTCAGGCTTCCCCTATCTTCCCTGAGAGAGCTCCTTCCCCCTTGGCCTCAGCCCCTGGGCTTTATATGGGAGCCAGGCCCTGCCCCTTCTGGTCAGCTGACCTCCTCTGGTTGTCCTGGCAACCAGCAGCTGTGCTCATTACTCACTGCTAGGGCTCTTCCCCTAGCAGTTTTCTCCCTTCTTAGGAGCAGGGTACCTAAGTGCTCTGTGACACCCCTCCCCCCTCAAGATTCAGACTCACCGAGCCAGTTTTTGATTTTATCCGCCGCACATCCTGTTTCCGTTCTCTCAGGTCTTGGCTCTTTTTTCTTCGACCACCTAGACACCCAGAGGCGGAGGTTTTTAGGCACCTCCTACCCACCTTTTACCCAAGGTGCACCATGTGGGATTTCATGGGATTTGCCCGCCGCAGGCAGTCCCCCCACACTAGCCAACCTCGGTAGGTTGCAGTCCCTGAGGATGGTCCCGGACCTGGTGTATTTCTCTAACCGAGGTGTCGGGCACAGTACCG